TTTAATCAATTACCGTCTCATGATGTCTCATGTGCGTAATCATAGTTAAAACAGCATTCAACGACATATACACAAAAGCCCATTCGAACAACTTGCACAATCTCATGAGAACTCAGATATCGTGATGCTCGGTTGAGTGATGCGCCCAGAGAGGTATTCGTTTAGCGACAGAGATGTGCAACTGAGTTAGCATTAGACTAAGATGCAGTTTTAATAGTACTCACTGACCAAAGTGACCACATTAAGAAACAGCTCACAGCACGATGCCGTGCATTTCTATACCACTCCAGACTAGATAGATAGATACATAGATAGACAGATAGATAGATAGATAGACAGATAGACAGACAGACAGACAGACAGATAGATAGATAGATAGATAGATAGATAGATAGATAGATAGATAGATAGATAGATAGATAGATAGATAGATAGATAGATAGATAGATAGATAGATAGATAGATAGATAGATAGATAGATAGATAGATAGATAGATAGATAGATAGATAGATAGATAGATAGATAGATAGATAGATAGATAGATAGATAGATAGATAGATCGAAAACAGTGGACTGTATGGCATCCGTCCTGTTAAAAATGTCTGAAAGTCATCTGAATCATCTTCCCAGGCACCTCAGATGCACATGATATTTGTCAGAGGAATCCATCCATCTTTTGGAGAATGCCGCTGCTGGTAATTCCTGCTAACCAGTGTTTTCACTACTGATTGAATTGCTTCCAAAGCAGAGAGGAATGTTTCATGTGGAAGCTATGGAAATGAACCAATTGACCTTTTGCCTGACCCCAAAGATCTCTACGCCCTGTGGGAGAACAAACTGTCAAGCGGCACCAGAGTCGGGAAATCAAAGGGGGAGCGCTACGCTGTTATTAGCGCAATGGCACTGTGAGACATGCCGACACTCCGCTCCTGCATGGCTTGAGATCACAGAAGATAACAGCCAATTCTAATTAGGTGAGGTGTAGTTTATCATCAATAATAGTATGAAGGTAGGCAGTAATAATACAATACAAGCTGATGAATGCGTATTGAGCATGTGAGTATGTGTGTCCTGGCGGGGCAGTCCGGCTGGGTGATTATGTCCTATAGGGATAACCTGTCACAGTGCTGAGAGCTTAATTGATGCCTCATGCTTTTCGGTGGGCAATTATGGCGCCCAAATGTCAAGCCCTAATTTGTGACTGTGTAATGTGGACACACACACACACACACACACACACACACACACACACACACACACACACACACACACACACACACACACACACACACACAAGCCAGCGGAAGGGGTGACACGACTTCTCCACAGGGATTCGCTCACAGGTTTGTTCAGCAGATGTGCTAGCTTAGAACATAGCAGCTCAAATACTGTCAGAGTTTACGTCATGAATCAGTCACAACAATGCAACACGTTTTATTAAAACTTTTTTTTTTGTTAGATGAAATCATTTAATGTACAATAAAATCCAAACCTTTGTTCTAAATATGAAGATACAGTACATCTTCTGTTTGAATCGGTTGCTTATTTATGGCCTCGTACTTACACAAAGATATTGAATTTGTTCTCAAAATGAGCACGCTAAAAATACAAATCAAAGATTAGCTGTTGATAGTTTTCTTTAAAATGCAGAACAATCAAGAAAAAAAAGATTTTAAAACATTATTATTATTATTATTATTATTTTTAGGGGACAAAAATATTTTTGGTCACTTATGTGATGTTTATTACTGTCCCTTCAAGACATCAGGTCAGGTTAGTTTCAACATCCCCAAAGACCATTTGATAATGTTTGTGAACAAAATGTGCCAGGCTTTTAATTATGGACTAACCCTGCCCTAAACTCAATCTATGACAAGTGTTTAGGGTTGCGCCACCAGATATTCCCCAAAGGTTTTTTTTTTTTGGACCCATTTCCTTAAAAAGCACCACACTGATCCAGCAGAATTTGTGCATGAAAAGGATGCATCGAATGCATGTTGCAAACAGTTGGACAAAAAAAACGCCTGCTGTCGTCTGGTAACCACTTCTAAGGGGGCAGACTGGCAAGCAAAGCTCCAACATAAGGTTTGCGGTGGGCATTTTCTCACAGGTATCTATAAAATGTTTGGTTGGCTTGACTTACAGTACGTTAGCCACTCCTAATGTCCAGCCTGCTGAGAGACCACAATGTCAGGATTTTTATGATTGACTCAACTTACTGATTGAAATGTAAAATCAGGTAAAAATGTTGTGTTTCATTGTCACAAGGATCTAGTTTTGAATGTCTGCTTGGCCCTTTTTTTGTAGACAGTTTGAATGTTTTCCCTGTAAATATGTCAGCTTTCTCCAGGTAGTCTGGCTTCCGCCCACAATCCAACAACATACATGTTTGGTTAATTGACTCTCAATTATCCATAGGTATGAAATATTATGATTGACTGGAGACAAATTCGGGTTGTATGGTCATTTCATGGCAATATTTTTCCCCCCATGGTTATTTTGTCACATGTGAGGACTCAGGACCTTTATTCATTGGAACCTAAGGTACTTTTGCAGTATGAATATTTGTCAATAATTTTCTTGTATCTAACAATGGCTGCTTTCTACTCATGTCTCCATGGAGATGGAGATAGAAATGCGAACAGAGGAGCATACTTTCCACTGGAGCAAGCCGGCAACTTGAAATGTGTCAGTAAATCAGGTATGCTGCTCTAATTGCTCCTCGCAGATGTCAGACCACAAAGTCCTGTCCTGTCAACGACTACACCAAAAGAGTAGAACTCAAACTCGGTGAAATGCGGCCGCAAATGCACGATGGATGTTTGTTGGGGAAAGGATGAATGGATCGCACAGTGCTTGACACCTCTGGCTGCTGATGTCAAATGGATAAAGCTACACTTAAACTGTTGGTGTAATCCATATAAACACACACATGCAACTCCATGTGACATTTACCTGCAAAATGAGCACACTTCAAAGAGCCCTAAATCAATAGTCACAGGATTCAATTGGCATAAAACAAACTCTCAGAAGGGGCTCCAGGTGAGCTTCTCGGTACCTCCCTGTCCTCCTAAACACTGCAATTTAAATATAGAAGTGATGCTCCTGGATCACTGGGGCCAGACAACAAAGCAGGCTATATTATTTCCTCCCTCCTCCCGCTAAGTCTCGGCCTCAACAACGGGTCTGAGATCAGACTCTTTGAGGGAACACCTGTCAGGGTGGACGATCGCTGATTTCCACACCTGCCTGTGTACTCACTTTGCACACACACACGCACAGACACACACACGCACACACACGTACACGCCAAAGCACGCATGTGCACAAACTTGATTGGGTTTCAAGAGCCCTTCAAGGCCACCGCTGAGGAGGTGATGAAAGTCAGGGAGCGTCCATGAGGCTTGGGAGAGAGGCTTTAAGTGTTTTGAACAAGTAGTTACACACCACCTGGAGGAGCTGAAGCACAAGGGCCAGGTAGATTCCAAAACATTCACTGGCAATATCCATCCTTCATGTGTAACTTAGATGTGATGCGTAGCGAGGGGGAGGTAAACCTCTCATTAAAGAACTCTATTATGCAAAGGTAATAGCCTCACATTTATTGCATAGTTAACTCAAGGACAAAGTGTAAACAAACATGCAAAGAAATATATATATCAATGAGCCTCCATTTATAGCTCCAGCTGTCTCTTACTGATAACAGGTTTACAGGATAATAAATGGATGTGTGATGTCAATATAATTCTTGGGTTTGTCTTGTTTTTTTTCTGGTATCAAACGGTTGCAAATAACTCATTAAAGCAACAAAGTAGCATAAAGCCTTTTGTAGGATACTGTGTTCTTTGGATCGCTTGAAGAGATGGGACTGGAAAGGAATGATGAACACACCCCTTCCATCACTTCTATTGTGTGAAGTGAAAGAAAGATGAGTAGTGACATTACCACATTAGAGTTGTGTCTCACGATAGGCATGCGTGTGTTTACACAGCGGAGAGGGGAGGTCCACACGCACGCAGGTGATAATTCCGGTTGCATGTTGCTGACATTAATCGATGACAGGGGTGTGTTGATGTTCAAGGTGTGCAAGTGGGAAAGTCCCAGAGTATCACGCAGTGGAAGTACAGAGAGAGAGCCAGAGAGAGAGAGAGAGAGAGAGAGAGAGAGAGAGAGAGAGAGAGAGAGAGAGAGACAGAGAGATACAGAGAGAGAGAGAGAGAGAGAACTGTCAGGAGGCTTTGCTCCCCCCCTCGCTCGCCATCACGCACATACATCACAGGCTGAGCTTTCAAGCTTCAGTAAGGATCTGCTCTCGACCGAGGAGGAAACAGCACGGTTATGATATGAGAATGTGGAGTCCTAAAAATATATCACTCAGACGTTCATCTTTTGTTTTTTTTCTTACTACCGACGAGTTCATACACGAACCTCCTACAACACTATTACCATTTTGGTTACTTCTTTTATCGACATGAGTGAAAATATGAGAAACCGCCTCTCAGTATGACACAGTGCGATTCTTCACGAGTACAAACTCCAATCACTTAAATACGTACCTATTGCTCAATTAAGCATTCTTCAACAGTGTCGATAATAACCATAACGGTAATGATACATTTCATCAGAAGTGAGCAATATTATCTATATGGAAGCAGACTTTGTGATGCAGCTCTTATATTGGATCTCATGAGACTGTGCAAGTTTCTTTCCTTTATGATTGTTGCAACGAGGACACACGTTGCGAGAGATACAGTCTTCTTATTTTGTAAAATAAAAACAGTTTAACTTTCATTGTAAAAATAATCTGGCAGCAGAGGTCACCTAATCTTTAGCACTCTGACCTCCACTTTTATTCAGCCACTAACTTCTCAGACCTGCTGTCGAGGTCACCATTGTAATTGGCCTATTCAGCCTATGGTGGACTTTGAGGTTTTTATGTGTGTATCAACTCTATATGAGCTGCGCCCAAGAATGATGGAGCCCATGAAGAAACACAACATTGATCTTGTAAACAGGTTTATATGTTGAAACTGTGGATGATAAAGGCAACCAATCAAAGTGTTTCTTTTACAAATGGCTTTCGAAAGTAACCATGGGCGTCAGTTAGCTTCGATTCTCACGGTGAAACACATCATGATCACATTCGTATTTATTGTTTGACATCAAAAACCTGTAAGGGATCTTGCTGATGACACACACGGTTGGTCTGTAACTGTGCCACATTTTTAATTGTAACTTGTACTTGTGGTGAAATGCATTGAGAACATTAGGGGGACGATTAAAAATGTCACTAACATTGATCATATTCTTGGTGGCCTGACAGTATTGTGGAGCTTTTCAATGGATAGAAGACAGTAATTGTACAGTGTTTCAGTCTTTACATAATTCATACACTTTCTAGTGGTTTCTCTATGCTGCATGTATCTAAATGTAAAAAATATATTCTCAAATAAATAAATATATAACATAAATATATGTATCTAAAAGGAATAAATAAATCAGTACACTTTAGCTCTTCTTTAAAAAAAAGTCACTGTTTTCCTTCAAAGTCCTCCTGAACAGCGCAAAGCACACAAACAAACACATTCCCACACGCTCATCAGATGTCCCAGAGGACAAGGCCGTTCCGGCTTGGACTCCCATTCTATTGCAGGTACTTTGAGGTTCTTCCGTCCACACGGACAAACGGCCCCCTCATGTTGAGCGTGCAGACTGACAGAGTCAGACAGTCTCGCCTGTCTGTGGCTGCTGAGAGATGCCCGTGCATTCCTAGAAGGGGCCCGGGTGCCTTTATCCCCACCGGCTGTACCAATGTCCTCCAGCCTGCACAGCCTGCATCCGTCCCCACTCACTTGCTGCCTGTGTGGAAAGGGTGGCAGCAGCTTTTCCCGCTCTGAACCGGACCTTGGCAGGTTTCAGCTATGACCCAGGATGTCCCTGTATAGCTCTGGCACGCGATCAGGGTCAACGGGCCTGGGCAAGAAGTGTGTAAATTTTTGATGCCGCCTGGATTTAGTCCCATCCCTCGGTGTCCCGTCTTTATTTAAAGCCACAAAATAACGCGTCCCTTTGTCTCCGTGTTTGTAGAGGTTGGACGAGTATGTGTTGTACCAGTTCTCCTCAAACTGCTCTCGAAAGACACATTCAGCTGTCAGCTTCTCCTGACAACAAAAGGAAAACAACTTTTAAACATTTTTTTCCAAATACAAAACCTCAAAATGCGTGGAGTTTAACATTGTGCAGCTTCTCCACGCATACAGTATGCACTTCAACATCGTTACTTCCAATTGAATGGAAACATTTATTCAATTGAAGTTGTAGAATGTCAGTACTTTACAATGTACAATAATTTATTGTGCATGTATTTAGCTACTGATTCAGCGAGCTGTACATCAGTGAAAAAAAATAGCATGTTGAATTTTATTTTGTAAAGTGGCTGCACATAATAGAATCATCTGGATTTAGATTTTTTAAAAGTAGATGTAGAGTCTACTTTAGCATGTACTGTGATTCAGTTTGTTTTGTTTTGTGCAACCATTTGACAAAAAAAGTGAGTACATTCAACACAGCATATTTTTCAGCAGTGTACTTGAAAGTTAGTAAAAGCATTTATCTATCTATAAAAGCTTATAAAGGTACTTACAGAGCCATATAGCTCTCCTTTGTCATTCATTCCCAAATAGAGTCCACTGTCCACTCCTCGGATGCTTATTAGGCCAACAGCAAGGCTTATAAATTCCAAAATACCTGGAAATGTAACAGCACATGACAGTCAGTATAAGATATCAGTCATGTTTCAAACTACATGACAACTACCAAATGAGACCCGTTTTAATTACAGACTAGACAAGTATGACTGATGTATTTTTGGGGTTGGTTATCAAATTCACATTTTAACATTGCAGTACGCTTATCTCTTTTAGATCAGGATAAATATCAATGTACCGAAACGACTGTGGTCCTTTCTCGTCCCTTGCACGGTGCCATCCGGAAGTATTTCCAGATGGAAACCAGTCCTGCAATACAACTGCCTCCTCCTCAGGATCCCTTTGAGGTGCGTTAAATCCGCGGCCGAGCTGCGGGACAGTCCGTCCCCCGGTAAGAGTTGCTCCCCGAGCAGGGTCGGTGGACTGTCCACGATTGGGGTCAAGAGGAAATGGGACCCGACGTGCGCGATACCGTCGATGCCGTGCAGGACGCCACTAAGTTCCCCGAGAGAAGCAGTAGAAGCAGCAACAGAAGCAGCCATCGCGAAGTTCACAGAGGAGCACACTTGGCGTGGATCCTGACCGCCTCGATCACTTATTCCATGTTGTGCAAGGATTCTTCGCCACTGTCCACGTTCTGCAAATACACGCTTCTTCCTGTCTCTCTGTCTTGCTCGCTCTCTCGCTCGCTCGCTCGCTCTCTTTTACCACTCCTCACGCTGCGTACCTGCTGGATGCCTCTGTGGGTCCATGGGGTGGGGTGGGGTGGGTGGCGGAGGGGATTTAAGGATGCGTACAAACTGCAGTGCGGGCAGGTAGGTAAGCTCCTGGGAGGTTTGCGCTCAGTGGCAGGCAAGGTAAAGCAGGTGCAAAAGCAGAGACGTAGGAATGGGCGGGGCTGTCACACTTGAGACGAGCTCTGGCCGGACTGCAGCCCCCACCCCGTCACTTCTCCCCTGCTCGAGCGACCCATGAAGCCACGAACAAAGGTTGAGAATGAACCCTCTATTTTTGCCAATAATATTTATCAATGATCACCCGTTGGTGAATTTCCCCACGAGGGATTAAGAATAATTTAAAGAACAAGTACATAGACGACAACATCACAACACCGTAAGAGCAGACTGGAGTTAATTTACACCACATTCCAAGTGATAAAGTAGTAAATGTGACAAGGAATATAGGCCATGAGTCACCAAACGTTTTGAAACTGAGAACTACAGTACTTCTTGGATACTGATTAATGCAAAGGTCCACGAGTTTCATACTCACTTCTGAAATAACAAATTAGCTCAAGCTGCCTTTAAAGTGCAAGTCACCGCAAATATTTTCTTTACATTAAAATGTTGTGTACACCCATGGTAGTCGAAAAATTGTATTCTGATTGGTGTTGCATTTGTGGACTAGGAATTAAGAGGCAAAATCTACGCTGTTTTATCTATCTCAAGGGGCGGCCATTTTGCCAGTTGCTGTCGACTGAAAATGACATTACAGTTGCTCAGGGCTTTTTTTGTTTTTTTTGGAAAGCAGAGTTGATTTTCACTGACCACCCCCAAGCCTGATTAACTCCAGTCTGTTTGATTGAGAAAATCACTTCAATAGAACCTGTCATAACAAAATTAAGTTGGCCAAAAGATCTCTAAAAGGAGAATAAAATACCTCTATCCCACCAAACACATATCAATCTGGAAAGGAGTAAAAAGACATTCCTCAAGCTTTTCAACTCAAAGGTTCCATGGTGAGAGCCATTATCCACAAATGGAGAAAATATGGAACATTGGTGAACCTTCCCAGGAGTGGCCGGCCAACAACAATTACCCCAAGAGCACATCAACGACTCATCCAGGAGGTCACAAAGAAATCCAGGAGAACTCCAAAAGAACTGTGGGCCCTCTCAATTAAGGTCAGTTTTCATTACGCAACAATAAGGAAGAGACTGGACAAAAACGGCATCCATGTCAGAGTTTCAAGGCAAAACCCACTGTTGAGCGAAAAGAACAAAAGGATCATCTTGCTTTAAAAACAAAAAACAAAAAAAAAACCAAAACAAAACAAAACGTCAGAATAGTTCCCAAGACTTTTGGTACAATATTGTATGGACTGATGAGACAAATGTTTACCTTTTTAGAAGGTATGTGTCTTGTTACATCTGGTGTCAATGTAACAGTATTTCAGAAAAAAAAGAACATCAACCTCTCAATGGTTTAAAAAAAAAATAGAGTTTTGGAGTAGCGCAGTCAAAGACTGGACTTGAACTACAACTACAAATGTTTAAAACCAGTTTGTAATGCAACAACAATCACATAAATCACATAAATCTGTCAAGCAAATGCAGTAGTACCTTAATTTACAGGTATAATTTGTTCTGTGACCAAGCTGATAATGTAATTTATTTATTTAAAAATAATATTGTTTATTGAAATACAATGAAAGCAAAACCAACAGCTGTAGTGTTGTATGTGTGCCTTCAAGGGGTGTGGCTTCGAGAGTGATGTCAGGAAGTCCTAATGCAAGCTTCTGGATGTGTGTTTTGGCTTGCTGTAGCTGTTTGCTCATGTTTTATTTTCATACTTATGTGATTCCCATTCAACAGCTGAAAGTGCATAATCAACTGTCACTCCATAAAAGTAAGCAACATGTACTACTACGCCATATCAGTGCAAAAAATACTATAACCTATCCAAAAAATTTAATTATGTTCGTCTGTTCTTCTTCAGAACTACTACCAACAAAAAGAGCCTGAACAACTTGTGGAGTGTGCGTGTCACAATGCTCAGGCGGCACTTTCAACATATTGGCAACCAATCTCAAAACACACATCACTTTGATGGGTTGATATATGTAATTATGTTCCTGAAAAAAATAAATAAGGGGTGTGAAAATATGTGATCAAAGCGGCACATCAAAGGCAAGCCAAAATGTGGGTGTAGGGGTTATGCACCTAATGCTCCCCGGTTCCACCCCCTTTCCCCCCCCCCCCACCCCAAAAAAAAAAAAAAAAAAATACTACACTAGGCTCTGTTGATTGTGAACTGCTTTTGGGTGCCCTCTAGTGATTGCAGTGCCCAGACCTGGTGCTTTTTTTGCTCATGTCTTTGGCCAGACCTGGATGGCACTAAATTTCTTGAATTTCAATGAAAACAAGAAGTTATGGTGTTTGGTCCCAGAGGCCCTTGTCCATCCCATCCTGTGGACTTGGGCCCCTTGGCTTATCATAAGCCAACAGTCTCGAATTTGGGTCTTAAACTGGGCAGTGATTTTAAATTGGTGCCATTGTTAAACCCAGCTTCTTTCATTTTAGGCAGCTGGCTAAAGTAAAGCCTCTCCTTTCTCAAGAGCACTTTGAAACAGTAATTTGTGCCTTCATCACAGCTGTATTACTGTGATGCACTTTACTTTGGAGTCAGCCAATCCTTCATTAAGCAACTCCAGTTGGTCCAGAATGCTGCTGCTCACCTCTTGACTGGTACTCATAAGAGGGAGCCCATAACTCCTACTCTGGCATCCCTTCACTGGCTCCCTATACATTTTAGAGTTCTTTTTTAAGATCCGATTATTTGTTTTCAAATCTTTAAATGGCCTCACCTCACCTTACCTCTCTGAGCTCCTCCACCCCCACGCACCTGCCCGGTGCCTCAGGTCTGCGGTGCCAGACACGATTAGAGGTACCAAGAACTAAGCGGAGGCTCAGAGGGGATCGAACGTTTTCTGTTGCTGGGCCCTCTCTTTGGAACGATCTCCCACTGAATGTTCGGCAAGCCCCCTCGCTGCCCATTTTTAAAACTCATCTTAAAACTAATTTTTATTCTTTGCCATTTAATTCAGCATGCAACTACATTTTTTGTTTTACTGTTTTCGTGCGTTCTACTGTTTTTGTTGTTAATTTATTGTTTGTTGCTGTATGAATTATTTTTGCTGCATGTACAGCACTTTGTATACAGTGGTGGTTGTTTTAAAGTGCTCTATAAATACAGTTGAGTTGAGACTCTGATTTTCCAAGGGCATTAAATAAAAGTTACAGAATGACAGAGTGTGAATCTAAATATTTTCTAAAAAAAAACTACAAAAGTACTCAAGAGTCTGTTTTCATACATTTGCATCAGGCCAAAGCTCCATTCTAGCTCAGTTTAAGGTACAATCTTGATACACGAATTCAAGTTGGCTTTACAATGACATCATCAAAGGCATGTGAAGTTACAGTACTCTTAGTGTTGTCATTATCAGGCGCTGTCCATTGCCCTTTGGTGCTGAAACAGCACGGTGACCACATGACCTAAAAGATGTCCTACCTATATGCTTTTGAGGAATATAGAAAGGTTTACACCACACCATGTAAATAACGAGCCCCCATGTTGAGTTTCTCCATTTGGTGATGTGTCAATGCACCACATACATTGTTTGTACTGATACTTCCACAAGTAAAAATACTTTTATTGGCTTTATAGGCTCTTGTTTTTGCCCCTCATACTCAAGCAAGCAGCTGATCGCAGCATACACTCATCTGACATTGTACCAATCTATCTATCTATCTATCTATCTATCTATCTATCTATCTATCTAGCTAGCTAGCTAGCTAGCTAGCTATCTGTCTGTCTGTCTGTCTGTCTGTCTATGTTGGTGACATCATGGCTCAGTAGGGTGGTCGTCTCCCAACCCAGAGATTGGGGTCCAATCCTCAGCTACTGCGACCTTGTCGAAGGGTCCTTGAGCAAGATACTGAACCACCTGTTGCTCCAGATGCTGCGTCATCAGGAGGTAAAGGAGGAAACAGTCTAAAGCAAAAAGTGCTAAGTGACGGCCCATTTACCATTCTCTCTCTCTCTTTCGCGTAACGTCACATGGTCAGATGGGCTACACGATTCTGTGTGGTTCTTTGCCACACATCACAATTATAATAACATTGTTAAATTAAATTCAATAGGTTGTGGCTGTAGTATTGTTGCTAATTGCTGTATTATATCTGAAACTAGGTCACTGTTGGTGTTGTGGACACAATGCTGACTTTCGAGCAGCCAGTGTGGGATCAGTTCCACAGGAGTTCAGTGTAAGTGTGAATGGTTGCCTGTGTGATTAACTGGTGGTCAATTTGGGGCGCACAGTATTCAGCTGCGATAGGTTCCAGCTTCCCCACAACCCTATACAGGATAAGCAGGTGAAAACGAATTGCTGCTGGAGGTACTGGTAACTAATGCTTAGGCCGCAGGATCCTGGTACACAGGGCTGACGTTCGATAATTGGTGGGGTCAGTTAGTGAGGGGGGTTAATGGTTAAGCGGTGGAGAAAAACATTCTCTGTACCCATTACAAGTGGCACAGTGCCACCTGACTGAGAGATCTGCTCTGTCCTCACCAGTCCAGCCGCTCTGATCTGGCTGGGAATGGACTTTTGAAGAGACAGTATCTGGTGCACAAGGATGAAAAATAGGGCCAAAACAACATGCAACTAGTTCCTAAATTCAAACAAGGCTTATGTTTTGTGCAATCCGGTCTTTATAATCACAAAAAGTTATCGTATCAAATTTTAAAAATGCACTTGTAAACACACATACACATTCATGTATGTAATGCATGTTTGTCATTCATGAATGTGTATGTGTGTTTACAAGTTTGGACCTATGATCCACATTTTCAGCTGTGTACAAGTTGCAAAGGGATTAGCTCTTTAAGTGTATATTAGAAACAGCTCACCACTGTCCGAAGCTAAAAACATAATAATTGCAGACTTCATTGTTGAGGCATGGCAAATGTTTTTCATGGATTCCAGAAATGCACATCATTACAGTAAAAAAAAAAAAAGAAAAAAGGAACGACAAAAACAAGACAATTGAACAGCGTAATATGTAACGATTCATAATTAATTATGTTTGCTTGAAAGCAGGATGGTGGCCTGTATACGTTAAGCACATCCATCGGCCTGTTTTGAGGTTGCCGTCCAAATCCAGACTCTGGCCGTCTTTGAAGGGTTTGTGTGTTTTCCCCTCTGCTTTTCTCCAAGTGCTCTGGCTTCCTCCACATTCCATAAGCATGCAGGTTAGCTTCATTGAAGTCTCGCAACTGTCCGTGGGTGTGAATGTGAGTGCGAATGTTTTTTTGTCGATATGTGCTTTGCGATTGCATTTTTGGAATGTGTGAGGACAGTTGAGATTTTAACAAAAACCTTGAGAACTGTGTGGCAGACACGCGAATCACAGCACCATCGTGCTTTTGCCTCCACTAAGGTGATATACAGTGTGATAGCCACATACTGTGTTTTATAACCTGTTGACATGTTTATACAAACACTGCATGGGCTGATTTTCATCTAACTTGTTGGTGATGGATGTTTCCAATGTTTCTGGTAACTGCTGTAGGTGTATTCCAATTCCAACTTCCTGATGTCAGTATGGCTGTAAAGATGTTCCTATCTTTGCTATTCTGTTGATAAACTGACCACGTGCTCAATAGCGATTTGCCTAATCACACCTCAGTCCAGTTATCAGATTAATAACTCCAATTTTTCCTTCATACCGCAAAGACTTACGGTCCTGATGTCACCTACCAACCCTTTAAAAATCTTGGAAGTTTGAATTCCCCTGGCTCTTATTTGAAAGGTCAGGCCTCACACGTTGAAGGAAGAGCGCAGAACGTTCTGTTTCATATTATCAATCCGACCTCAGTCAGAGTTTGATATGCCGG